TAACGGACAATTAGGAGATTGAAGTTACTTCTCGCACCATTTTCACGAAACTCGTGATTTTGAGGTAGACTCGCCACCATTAATTAGTTTAAATTATAATTGCATGATTTATGTGAATTTACGTGATTTATATGCTTTATGCATAGGATGAGAATTTGTCATATGAGATATATGATATTGTTATGCTTGCCATAACTTATATGCTTAATTGCATGAGAAAGAAAGAAAGAATCTCTTATGAGATAAGAGAATGTTATGCATAACTTATGTGCTTCATCCGCACAAGAAAGAAAGAACTACCCATAGCCTGTATTTTAAAGAGCCTATGATTTTCAAGAAAATGAACCAAAGATGATATCACGTTGTATATTGCATAAGTGTGTATTCAATTATTCTGTAAATTAATTATCGGCGATGAGTCTACTGAGTATTTCTTCGAAATACTCATTCTGCTATTTTAACAATATTTGCAGACTTCGGAGGCGATCGAGATTGATCCGGCAGTGGTGGCATAAAAGAATTTGACTATCGAAATTATTATCTCTTTGAAGTTTTTGTATTCGAATATTGATAACATTTTGTCGTTTTCCGCTATTTCTAAAATATGATATTTAAGTTTTAAATATTCTATGAGTTTTAATTGCCGACATAGTTTTCAATTGCAAATGTGATTTTAAAAATTAGATTATTTCCGCAAAATTGATTGACAAAATTAGGGCAAAAGACGATGACGTGGCAATCCGGGTTAACAAAACTCGGGGCGCTACAACATACGTCTTGCATATGGTCTTGGTAAAGAAATTAAATACTGGTGCAACTGATACATGTAATTGGAGATTCTATGAGCATGAGATGAAGGAAACATAATGTCTTACCTCAATAGGTAGAAAAATGAGGGTTATGTTGAACTTCATTATCTCTTTAGCAAGGCATCAACACCTAATCATCTATACCCTGTCTTTTTTAAAAAAGAACAGAGAGACCTTCAAACGCAAAGTCTAGAAAATAAGCTTTGAATCAAATTTCTTAATATTATTTTTGTCACCTATCATCATTTCAAGTGTTTTAAGTTTAATGTAACTAATGCTTAAAACAAATAATTTTTTTTTATATTTACGCTATCATATAGCCTACTATGGCACGTGCGTTGCACGTGCGTCTTACTAGTACTAATTCAAGATATCATTTTAAATGAACCAAAATCAATTGTTCACAAAGAAATAACTATTGAATAAGGGGTTAAGATGAATAAAATAGAATTTTGAGGTTTAGTTTTCAATTATGGGAAGTTAATTACTAAATGTAATATAAAATAGAAAATGAAGGACTTGATTGCAATTTAGACTAGTGGAATACTCAATAGCACTATATGGAACCCATTTTCATTTTATACAAAAAAAATAAATCCTAAACCATCGATACAAAGAGAAAAGAAGGAAAAAAGAAGGGAAAAAAAAAGAAGAAAAAGAAGGGTAAACATAACGGCATTAGGTTTATAGACAGCAGAAAGAGGAAAGAAGAAAAGTGAAAGAAAAAAAAAGCAGAAATGGCGAAGTGTCCGATTGAAACTTAGAGGATCTGACACATATCCTATACCCATGTCATGTCGTGTCCGACACAAGTACTTCGTCCATTTCGAAGAGTCCGAGCATCAAAGACACCATCTAAGTAGCCATTTCCTTAATTTATCATGAGGTCGTACCACCAGGCTCCAGTTGCCAATTGGTGGTGTATAAAATCTTTTCTTATTTTATTATTCATGCTAAATATCATCACACATTTATCTTAACATTGTTATATCTTGTACATTCATCTCGCGGATGATTTTTTCTTTATTGGCTTCACATAAAATACCATAAAATATAGTTAGCCTAACAACCATTCTATAACACTTGTATTTTGAATGAGTCCCTTGAAGCATTTATGCATGTCATCCTACCAACTCCAATATAATGTGCACTAATCTCCTTCAATTCCCCTTTTCTTATTATAGTTATCAAACTTACAGAAATGATCTAATGAGCACCGGTGCTCATCTTATCCTAAGCACCAATGAGTTGGCACATTAATTCATTGGTGGATTGGAACTCACAAAATCTTTATCCACCAATGAATTAATATGCCAACTCATCGGTACTTAGGATAAGATGAGCACCGGAGCTCATTAGATCATTTCTGATCAAACTTAATACATAAACCAATTACGAGGGACAACATAACCTTAAACCTATACAGCTAGTATATACACACACATTAGGAAAGGTAATCCATAGTGAGGGGAATAACAAACTTCACGCACTGGTCGTATATGTTCTACAATAGCACTAAGTTTGGCTGATCACCTATTAGAAGATGATGCTGCTTTCCCTCAGAACTGAAACATCGACCATATAACTCATTTATTCTTCAAAAAGGTCACTATAAAGCATACACAATGCACAAAAATGGCACACCGAAACATACTTTCATCGAAACACATTGGATATGAGACCCCAGCTATCAATTGAATTAATTAGTTGTATATGCAGCAGAATAAGCCCGTTTGGTGGCCTTTAATTAAAAAAAATAATCTAAAAATATGTTTTGAATGGTATTTTTTGGAGAATGTGTGTTTAAAAAGTAGGGAAAAGATTTGAATTTACGTGTAGAATATTTTATTGCGTGAATGTGCTATTGAAAATGAGTATGACAAATAAATGAAGTTAAAGTAAATGGAATCAAACAGGGACTAAGTTGATGACACAGAAACAAATTATGCAACCTTACCACCGTAGCTATTGAAGTTCCAATCAATTCCTGCAACCTTGTGCTCCAGATTCTCTGGACTAGATACAATCTTTCTCACAACAAACTGCCATTGAATAAGTTGAGACTCATCTTAATCATGATAATTTTGTAAGAAACTTCTACTTCCAGTAAAAATAAAAATAAGGTTTTTGTTCTCTGAAAGAGAAACGTAGTTGGAAAGCCCAAAAAAAAAGGTTTGAATAAAAAAGTGATGAAGCTCACAGTTGGACCAGTGTCGCGAAACCAAGAATCATTCATACTCATCTCAACAACCCTGATATGTTCTGGTAAGAGACTACGTGCATTGGCCCACTGTCCACAAAAATATACATTCAAATCTAAAAGAGAATAAAATTTCATAAAAACTTGCTGCAAATAATTACTGCCAACCTGTGCAGCACTAGCACAAACAGTCACAGGTTCAAATCTTGAAATTGCGGATGCCACACTGGCATATGCACGTTGAGCATGCAATCCTCCATCTCGCCAGTTATCTGGCCGTTCCTACAATCCAAATGAAACATGAGAATCAAGGTATTTTGCATTTGTTCTTTGCCTAGCTTATACAATACTTGAATGATGATGGAGCATGGTAATAGATAGGGATAGAAGGGCAGACACATGTCAAGAAATAATGAAAAAAAGTGACAGGTTCCAATTACAAAAACAAATATACAGTCAATAAATTCTTTATAAGAGAAGTTAGTGGCGTAGTTCAAATTATTTGGCCCCTACCCATTTAATGCTTGGAGCAATTTTCTCAAAACCATCAGGCACAAGACCACTCACTTTCTAATAATGCTGATATAATTTTTTTAACTGATTGATTGACAGCCACTAACTGGTAAGTGGGATCAAAGGCAAATAGCCAAAAAAAAAAAAAATGAAAAAAAAAACTACTTGTGAACATATGAAATCCCATTGCAACACTAATATAATTGACAAGTAAAGATCATTTGTATTTCTGAATCACCAGAACAGAATTTGAAAAGTTTTCACATGATCTGGTTTCATAACTTCGAAATTCCACTGAAAAGAATAAACTCAATTAACCACATCATAACAATTTCTTCTGCATTATCATCATACAAAAAAGTAACAATTTTAAGAATCTCCTGCACTATCATCACACAAAAAAGTATAAGAATAAACTCAATTAACCACATCATAAACTCAATTGATCAGTATATCATTTTAAGAAACTCCTGCATTATCATCATACAAAAAAGTAACAATTTTAATTTGTTCTTTATTATTTCCAACAAAACTTGATCAATTTTCGGTGACTCCAAATTATTAAAAATTTTCATTAGATTAGCAGAAAAGGAATAGCTATGTATTTCTTCTAATTTCCTGATAAAAAATTTTCTAATTCCATTGAATACCTGGCCAGAGAGTCAAATTTCTTCTAAAACCAAAAATTATCATTCTAATTACTTATTACTCCCTAACCTCATTATTATACCCACTTTTCCCTCAATTTTTCGAAATAATATATCCTAATGATTTTTTTATTTTTTATTTTTTTTGTTTATGATATCACAAAACTTCCAAATCACTGTAACATCTACATAGATTAATCTTCCTCCTTCCAAGTGTTACCCAATAAAATGAGTAAATTCTACACAAGAACATTAAAATAAAATAAAAATATTTGATCTGTCAAGAGTAGTAGGTTAACAATTCTACTAATACAGATACTATGTTATTAATAATGAACCGAACTGCATCGATCGACGAAAATTAAAAATAACACCAAAGTCATAACAAAATATTCACCATTAAGATGATTAAAAAAATCCCAAAAAGGGAAATTTCAGGCATAGGTATCACTAGAATAGTTTAAAAAACACTAATTAAAGAACTGAAAGAGTGAGAAACTCACAGGCCAACCCATCCAGCATTGAGAATGGAGCTCCCACTCCGCCGGCATGTAATATCCATGCTCAACAGGCTTTCCTTTCAATTCCATTCTCCCAGATCCAAGATTTTCAATAAGGGCAGCTGAAACTTAAGAAAATCAATAATAAAATTTATTTACAATAAAATGGGAAACTTCTTTGTAAACTGAAAATTTAGAATCTTTGATTCGGTCTTAGTTCTATCTATTATTCAATAATCTCATTAACTCCATAAAACAAAGTAGAGAATTCTAAAGCCAAGAATGCTGCCAATTTGGGAATATTGCAGCCTGAGTAACCATCATTTTTAACTTCTAAATCATAGGGATCATTTATTATTTAGCACAAAGACAGAGAATTATTTTAGTCTAGTTGTTAAACTCAACCCGATTGAGGTACTGAGTCTCAGGTTACTGATCGAACCGGTGGGCTAATAGTTGGACCGGTGGGTCAGTGTTTAAAAATTCTAAAAGGTTTTTTAAAGTACAAAATTTTCTTTGAGATAAAATTAAAATTTTTAAGTTATTTGTCATTAATTATTTACATATTTTTAGATTATTTTGTTAAACATTCAATTCATTTTAATTAAAATTAGGACTATAATTTTTTTAAAATAATATTTTTAACAAACTATAAATGATTTAGATATATATATATCATTGCAAATGAATAACAATAAACTATTGGGCTCTAATGGTTAGGTACTACTCACCTTACTTTAAGGTTCAAGGTTCAAATCTTTGAAACACTAAAAATTTAAGGAAAATTTTTGAAATTTGGTCAAATCAATCAACCGAGCTGTTTAATATAAAAACCGTTGGTTAATTCGGTCAAACTCGGATTTTGACCGAGTGATTTGCATTTCTATCAAATTGTTCAACCCGGCCGGGCCGCACCGGACCGGGTTTTATAACTATGATTTTAGTGCTACCAAGTAAACAATCCTAGAATTGCATCATTTGGGGATGATAGGGACTAGGGAGCGGTTAGAGATACAAGGTAAAAAACTAATAACACCCACCCACCTCAAATGGTAAAACCAGATACCCCATCCCCAAATAGCCAAAAAACAATTTGAGGACGCTGGCAAGACAGCAGACTCGTCCGGCTTCGTTCAGAACAGTCCACTCACCTGTTTCTTCATCTGCCGAAGCATTTGCTCAAAATCATGTGAAACAGTCACATGCCTTGGAGGAGATGGTTTTCAATTCTCGATTCAGAATTGAGGCGAAGGAGTTTGTAGTGTCTGTTAATTATTCAAGCACTATCAAGCTATCATAATGGGGTTCGAAAATTTCAAATGCAATTTGTATGGGGAGATTTGGAGCTGTGTGGATGGTGAATATGGTGAATAAGATGAGGGTGGCTGATAGGTCGGAGGACTTTGCTGCGAAGTTTAATGAGTCTTCTCGAGCTTTTTTGGCACAACGTTGTGCGAACAGTCGGGGTCGGTATCTAATGATAGCACAGTATGGGGAGAGACGCCGGAAAGGGATGGTGATGGTGCCGGAAGGGGTGAATGGAGAGGGTTGGGCATTGGTTCACGTGTGTTTCAGGCAGTTATTGACTCTTTTGTTGCCAGAGATAAGGTTAAGCGTCGAACATTTGAGGTAGGAAGACGACAAGGGATAACTTATGCCGAAGTTGCGACAAACAAACAAGTTGCAAAGGAGGGCGATCAGCAGGTATTGTGGCATAAGGAAAGGGCGGTTCATGATAGGAATGGTACACATGAGCAGATTTCGAGACCCAACAAGGTAGGACTTCCAACGATGCATAAGTTTAAGGAAACAACAACAGAGGGTATATCTGATGTAATCTTGCACAGTGTTGAATTAAGGGACCACATCAAGGCTTTGCAAGGTAAAATGGATGAATTAATCAGGTTAATGGAGAGTGGAAATGTAGTAGGTGCAAGGAAAACCTGTTGTTATAGGTGTGGGGTGGATTTGGATGAGTGTCCAGTTAATGGAATAAATGTAGCGAACTTGGATTATAAGGAGGTGACATCGAACTGTACCCAAAGCAAAGAGGTGCTAGGAGAGCCAAGTTGTGAGTCCCAAGTGAGGACTAAAGCAGTGGACGTCGAACCTTTGAATAAGGTAGGGGAGCCATGTATGTTGAATCTGGAATCAGAGATTCTCGATGTGACCAAAGACAATTGTTCCACGAATGAGGGTACATTGGTTACGAATCCAGATGAGGGGATAGTGAAGGCAATAGAGCAAGATACCGGTATGGTATCGACGGAAAGTCCAACTTCGGTAACTGAAAAGCAAAAAGGGGTGATAGGCACTACTACAAAGGTAATGAACACCTACATGAGGAGATATGTGAAGTCTACAAAAGAGGGGACGCTAGAGAATGATAGAGCTTTGGTGGTATGGGGTGATGGCGCCGAGACGGGGAACATATACAGTGATGCAGTAATAGTGGAGGAGGAGGGACAGTTATATGATCCTCTTTACGGAGAGGAGATAGCGATTGGTAAGACGATTGACATTAGACCCCCACCGTCAAACTGGGTTCTCCAAACCATTTTGGACTTTAGCAAGAGGGTGGGTGTGTCCTGCAATGGGTATGAAAATAAGCTAGTGCAATTCTTTGAGGAATTGGAGGCGAATAGGGGACGAGGGATGGATGTCGGTAAGACAAGAAGAAAGGGTGATCGTGAGCTTAAACGACTGGAATGATTGGTTAATTATGACGTAAAAGGAGGCGAGTCAAGGAAAGGATTGATAGGGAGGGCTGATGGAGTGTTTTGATGATTCCAAAAATAATTAGTTGGAATGTAAGGGAGCTGAATGAAGCCGGGAAAAGGTTAGGTGTTCGAAATTTAATAAGAGGGTGGAGAGCTGACCTTGTATGTTTACAAGAAACGAAATTGGAGACCGTCTCGAGGGCCGTTGTGACTAGTCTTTAGGGGGGACAACATGTTGAGTATCGATTTTTGGGATCATCGGGAGCTTCAGGAGGTGTGTAAGTCATGTGGGATACCAGAGTTTTTGAAATGGGGGAGGTTAGTGAAAGACTATTTTCTCTGTCGCTCACATTTAGAAATGTTGGGGATGGATTTCGATGGGTGTTTATAGGAGTTTATGGGCCTAATGCTGGCGAGAGTAGAGGTGAATTGTGGGATGAATTGTCTGGTATAATGGCTTGGTGGAACCTTCCAATGTGTGTTGGAGGAGATTTTAATGTGGTTCGGTTTCCTACTGAAAGGTCTAGTGGTGGGAGATTAACAGGAGCTGTGGAGGACTTCTCAAATTTTATTAGGGAAAACACGTTGGTGGACCTACCTATGGTTGGAGGAGATTTTACGTGGTCTTCTAATCGGGATCAACCTGTATTATCCCGAATAGATCGGTTTCTGATTTGTGGGGAGTGGGAGGCCAAGTACCCAGAGATCATTCAGAGAAGATTGGGGAGGGTTTATTCAGATCATTTCCCTATTTCATTATCTGGGAATGTGAGGGGCATGGAAAGCAGACCATTTAGGTTCGAGAAGATGTGGCTAAAGGTTGAAGGTTTTGTGGAGCGAGTTAGGACATGGTGGGCATCGTATGACTTTAGGGGGTCCCCCAGTTACGTATTGGATCAGAAATTGAAGGCCTTGAAAATGGACCTAAAGAAATGGAATGAGGAGATGGTAGGAGATATTAACTATCGGAAATATCAATGCATGTCAGATATTGAAGAGCTGGACAGAAGGGAGGAGAGTCGAGGATTGGCAGGGGATGGGAGGGAGAGACGTGGAGAATTAAGGGGAGAATTGGAGAGGAGGGTGGAGATGGAGGAGATTACTTGGCGTCAGAAATCTAGGGTCATGTGGTTGAAAGAGAGGGACAAATGCACGCAGTTTTTCCACAGGGTTGCTAATTCAAACAAGCGTAACAATTCCATCACTATGTTGGAGGTAGATGGGGTTATTTATGATGAACCACAGGATGTTGGGATTCAAATAGTAAGTTTCTACCAAAATCTTTATCGAGAGCAATACGATTAGAGGCCAGAGTTGGAAGGACTGGATTTTTCTACTGTTAATGAGGAAGATGTCATTTGGTTAGAGAGACCTTTTGGGGATGACGAAATTAAGGAGGTGGTGTTCAGTATGAATGACGAAGTGGTGCGATCTGACATTGTGGATGTCCTTACCTATTTTTTCCAGTGTGGGAGGTTCTTAAGAAGTTCTAATGCTACATTTATTGTGTTGATTCCTAAGAAACTAGGAGCAACAGATATCAAGGACTTCCGGCCTATCAGTATAGTGTGTGGGATGTACAAGATTATTGCAAAGATATTGGCGAACAGATTAAAGGAGGTGCTGGGGAAAGTGGTTTCTAAGTTTCAGAATGCGTTTGTCAAAGGGCGGCAGATTTTAGATTCCGTACTTATTGCGAATGAATGCATCGACTCAAGACTAAGTCTAGGGGTTTCAGGAATGTTATGTAAGCTTGACATCCAGAAAGCTTATGATCACGTAAACTGGGATTTCCTTCTATATATGCTCAAACGATGTGATTTTGAGGATAAGTGGTGTAAGTGGATTCAGTTTTGTATCTCTACAGTTTCTTTCTCAGTCATGGTGAATGGCACCCCTGAGGGTTATTTTAGGAGTAGTAGAGGTTTGAGGCAAGGGGATCCTTTGTCTCCACTGCTCTTTGTTATTGTTATGGAGGCGTTCAGTAGGATGCTTGAGAAGGCTGTGAGGGAGAGATTATTAAGGGGCTTTATGGTTGATCAGTTGCAGGTTTCACATTTGTTGTTTGCAGATGATACGTTGATCTTTTGCGATGCAGATGTTGAGCAATTCAGGAACCTGCGTCGTTTGCTTCTGTGTTTTGAAGCTGTTTCTGATTTGAAGATTAACCTGGGAAAATCTGAGGCGATCACGGTGGGAGAGGTCGGGAACGTGGAGGAGTTGGCTGCTATCTTAGGATGCAGGGTTGCAAAACTGCCTATGTCTTATCTTGGGCTCCCTCTTGGAGCACGATTTAAAAGTATTCATATTTGGAACAGTATTGTGGAAAGGGTAGAGAGAAGGTTAGCGGGGTGGAAGCGTATGTATCTCTCAAAGGGTGGTCGTCTTACTCTAATTAAGTCCACTTTGTCGAATCTTCCGACTTATTTTTTGTCATTGTTTCCTATTCCTGTTACAGTGGCAAGAAGGTTAGAGAGGATCCAAAGGGAATTTCTCTGGGGAGGATTGGGGGAGGAGAAGAAATTACATTTGGTTAACTGGGATGCAGTTTGTTCTCCCATAAGGATGGGAGGTCTTGGATTGAGGAGCCTTGTTTTGTTTAATAAGGCTTTGTTGGGCAAGTGGTTATGGCGATTCGGAGTGGAAAGGGGAAGTTTTTAGAGAGAAATTATAGGGGCAAAATATGGTGTTATGGAGGGGGGATGGTGCTCAGTCGAGGGCCGTCGTTCATATGGGGTGAGTTTGTAGCGGTATATTCGGCGAGGGTGGAGCGATATTCGGGATAGATTGAATTTTGTGGTGGGGAATGTTAATACTATTAGTTTTTGGGATGATTGTTGGTGTGGAGAACGACCGCTTAGGGAGGGATTTTCTTCTCTGTATCGGGTATCACTTTGGAGCCGACTACTATGGTAAATGATGTATTAGATATACATAATGGAAGACCTAGTTGGAACATTGTTTTTGGGCGGGGTTTGCAGGACTGGGAAGTGGATGATTATGCATTGCTCCTGACGTCGTTGTATAAGGTGCACGTTAGGGTTGGTGAGGATGATCGTAGTAGGTGGAGGCTGACACAGGACGGTACCTTTTCTGTTGGCACTTATTTTAGATTCTTATTGGGATTTATGGAGAGTTCATTCCCTTAGAAGATGGTTTGGAAATGTAAATTGCCTCCAAGGGTGGCATTTTTACTTTGGACGGTTGTTAGGGGACAGGTGTTAACGGTGGATAATTTTCGTAAAAGGGGTTTTTATGTTACAGAGTGGTGCTATATGTGTGGGAGGGATGGGGAGACGATTGACCACCTATTCCTTCATTGTGATGCAGCTCGTTTGTTGTGGAACGATATTCTGATGTCTCAACACATGGACTGGGTATTGCCGAGGCGTATGGAAGACGTGTTAAAGGCATGAGGGAGAAAACTTCGAGATAAGGATAGCAAACTTGTGTGAAACCTTATTCCGGGTTGCATCGTTTGGAGTTTGTGGAGAGAAAGAAACAACCGCTGCTTTGATGATCAAACACGAACAACAGAGCAGATTAGGGAATTGTTTTATTTGACATTGTATAATTGGTTTAATGCTGCGGCTACTAATCATGTAGATGGGTTGCCTAATTTTTTATTGTTTCTTTCTGGTTTAAAGTAATAATACACTACCTGTGTATTATTCTTTGATTAATAAAATACTTGATTACCTTTCAAAAAAAAAAAAGATCAACAAAAGTGAGAGAAAGAACTAACTGAACAATGTCAATGATCCACATAAAATTTCTGGTTGTGACTGATGCTATTACCATACAGTAGCCAATTGGAGCTTGGAGATTGCAGGCAGGGGCGACGCAGTCAGGTGTGGTTTCAATTCAACAATTCGGAGGAAGAATGGCTATGATTTGGATTGGGTTAAAACTGAGTAAAAAGTTTCATTCATAACTGAACTTAGTTTATTGTCACTGAACTTTGTTTAGCTGCTGAATGGTCATTGAACTTACAAACTCATCTCTCCATCCATCACTCACCACACAGCTATTTGAAATTGTATGACCTGGCTCGACGGAATTCCATGTGGCTATTGACGGCATCTACTTGAATCCAAGGTGTAAGCGTGTTTGTAGAAAGACGCTATTTTAATACCTTCAAAATTGAAAATCAATTTCCCTAAAATACATTCGCAGTGATTTTGGTCCAAATCAGAAGCCTTGGACGAACATTAAATCAAGCTCGACAGACCTAAAGTGCGAACCCAAAATCTGCGATTGCCAGACTTCCGGTTCAAATTTGCATGCATAGATGGAGAAGATGGAGGTAAAGAATTTCCGACCTTCGATATTGGAATAAAGTGAAAATTTAAAGCTTCAAAATTGTTTAGATGTGGACTGAACAATTACGTTGATTTAGTTATATGTTAAAAATCTTGGGGAAATTGAGATTTGGATTTGTTTGAAAAAGAGGACTGTAACGATGACGTGCTCGATCTGTGGGTTGGGGGGGCACAATAATCTATATCAGTTCGGGAGGATGCGCCAGCTGATGTACTAATGTTGGTTTGGGCAATATATTGCAATCTGAAACTAATGTGCAAGTGTTAATGTTCAATTGCTTCCTTTGGAACAGGGCTTGGTAGAAGCTGAATTAGAATCAGTTGAATCGAATTTCAACTAGCAGTTAACGCACAAGTAAGTACACATCAACTGAGTACTTTTCACTTCTTCACCAAATCTGGTCGATATTAGACATTACGGTTTGATTTTCTTTGTTTGATTTTATAGGGTAAAATGGTAGCCGCAAGAGGGAAGGGCTCATCGAGCTAAAACGTGCGTGAAAAACATCAAATGCATTTCAAGCCCACACCTATGGGTGCGAGAGAAACGCAGACAGGGATACTTCGATCTGGACCAGCAGCCACTTTGGTTGATGAGTTACAAGTCATAGATGAGGCTGAATCTTCAAAATTCACATTGATTTTGTGCAGCCACCAAATTTAAAAAAAAAAAAAATCTTTCATTCAACGGCGTGAATTACATATTCTTCACACCAGTAAAAGGAAAATCAGGAAATTACCTGCACCGTGCGTGGAATTGGTTTGGCTTCTGTGGTTTCCTCCTTCGCGTTTTGACGGGTTCAGGTAATGGGATGTGGGTTCGGAGTTTATGGCTTGAAAGTCACCTGCAGCTGGGGATGGTGTACAATGGAAGACAAAGAACTTCTGGCAAGAGACGTTGTGTTCGTTCCAGGGGTTTCGAATTGGGGGAGATTGAATTAGGGTTCACGTGAAATTAATTTAGGCGCCAAACGACATTTTCTGGTTGGAAGAAAACGAATTTCACTTAACTGTATGATATTAGACAAACAAAGTTGGAAAATAAAAACTCTCCAAATCCATAAGAATTCATTTTCCATGAAAATAAAGAAAATTCAGCTTAAAGTGGTTGTACATTGAAATTCGATTTTCATTTCCACGATGCAATCAAACGGTTAAAGTGAAATTCGTTTTCTTCGAATGTGATATTTTCATAAAAAATGTGGCTATAAAACATGGCCTTAGAGAAATTAGTTTTCAATTTTGAAGGTATTAAAATTGTGTCTTTCTACAAACATGCTTTCATTGTGAATTCACCAACGTGGAATTTAGTTGAGCCAGATCAAACAATTTCCGAGGGCTGTGTAAGTTCATTGATGGATGGAGAGACGTGTTTGTAAGTTCGATAACCATTCAGCAGCGAAACAAAGTACAATGACTATAACATGAAAATATACTAAATTCAGCCCCTGTTTGGTGCACATTTTGGGTCCAAAAATGCATTTTTTTTTTTTTTTTTGTTTAATGTGATGGAGAATATGTAATTGAAAAATAAGGAAAAGTTATTGATATGATGAAAAATATTATTTTATTGAAAAATGTGTGATTAAAAATGAGTAGAAGAATGAAAATGAAAAAAGTAATGTGGCTCAAATAGGGGCTCGGTTATTAATGAATTTTTTTACTCGTTAAAACTTAAAAAAGTTAAAACATTAAAAATAAAAATCTTTTATTAATTGGGCATCAAACTCTTGTTGGTTTGGGGCTTAGATTGAGCTAATCTTTCGAATCGAGCTTAAGCCAAAAAAATTGTGAAAATTACGGTCCTCTACTATTATTTTATAACTCTTATTTTCACAAACTCATTTTCAATCACACATTTTCACAATAAAATATTATATATATATATATAAACTAAAATTTTTTTTTACTTTTTAACCACACATTCTTCAAAATTTTATTATTCTAAATTTCATTTTCCTACTTCAATGATTGAGAAACGGGGCTACTTGACATGAGCCCTTAACACAACATTTTCAAATTTACATGACATGACCCCTTAACAGTTTCAAAATTTACATCATTGAACATCATATTTCTAACATTACTACAAAATCATAGTATCTATGGTTAGAAATATATCACTTCACTCCTGCATTTTTTGTTGAATTTGACATCGTTGATCTCTCCACATCAATTTAGCCCATGTTTGATATTAACACTTTTTCTTCTACAGCTTAATTTTAATCACACATTGACATAATAAAATATTCTGCACGTAAACTCAAATTTTTTTCTTACTTTTTAACTACGCATTCTCCAAAAATTCACCATTCAAAACATTGTTTTTGGTAAATAATGACCACCAAATATGGGCTTAATTCCATCTTTGTGGCACATTTCCACATTCCACTCTCATTTTTTATTTTTTATTTTTGCTTTAGTTTCTTCCCATATTATTCAACCCTAAATGTTACCGTATAAATCAAAGTCAATCTTTCCTGTCAAACTTGCGATTCGGAGAAGTGAATATCGTGATTTCCCAACTCCATTAAGCTCTGTGATATCTGATCTCGCTGATTTTTATTATAAGCCCTAAATGTTACTATAATTATGCATTATTATTTCTCTAAAATAAGGATTTTACACTTGATAAAATACATGGAGTGAAGATTTTTTTTTTTGGTTAGATACACTATATATGTATCTATAGGTTTAGGTTTAGGTATGTTTCATGTTGTAGTCTTCATCTTCAACTAAGGTATTTTCAGCATACATGTGTTGTTTCATTAGGTTGAATTAAATGATTTTTTTAAGATATACTTCTCGTCGGTTAGTGATGGCAATGGGGTGGGGCACCCTCACCCCACCCCGCCCCACCACACCACTCCCCCTCCCCGCCCCGCGCCCCACCCCGCCTTAGACGGGGCGGGGCGGGGCTCGGGGCTGGGTGGGGCGGGTACGGGGCAAGGACTTGCCCCGTTTCTTACCCCATTT